GTGTTGGTGTGTGGAGGAGATGGTGGTGATGTGGTGGATGTGTTGGTGGCTTGATGTGCTAATGTGAGGAGATGTTGGTGTGGAGGTAATGGTGTTTGTATGGAGGTGTTGGTGTCTAGGTGTTGGTGTGTGGAGGTGGTGGTGTCTGTATGGAGTTGTTGGTTAGGTGTGGTTGTGTTTGTGTGGAGGTGTTAGTGTGTGGAGGTGGTGGTTAGTTTGTGGTTGTGTTTGTGTGGAGGTGTTGGTGTGTGGAGGTGGTGGTGTTTTTGTGGTGTTTAGTGGTGTATGGGGGGTTGGTGTGTGGAGGTGGTATTGTATGTGTGGAGGTGTTAGCATGTGATTGTGTAGGTGGTGGTTAGTGTGTGGTTGTGTTTGTGTGGAAGTGTTTGTGTGTGGAGGTGGTAGTGGTGTTGGTGCCTTAATTTGTTGGTGTGTGGAGGTGTTGGGATGGAGGTGGTTGTGTATGTGTGGAGGTGTTTGTGTGGAGGTGGTGGTAGTTGGAGGTGGTGATGGTGGTGTGGTGGATGTGTTTGTGTCTTGATGTGCTTGTGTGTGGAGGTGTTAGTGTCTTGATGTGCTTGTGTGTGGAGGTGTTGGTGTGGAGCTTATGGCGTTTGTGTGGAGGTGTTGGTGTGTGGCATCTGTGTAGAGGTAGTGGTATTGATAATAATATAATGACATTCCAATTTATCTTTGATTTGAGATATTGTGGTCTTCCTAATTATGTTAATTAATTTTTTTCATACTAAATACAATGGTTAACACAAAAGAGGCAGATTCATCTATAATGTGGAATGAAGAGACAATTAATATTTTACGACATTTGCCTCAAGAAGATCGGTCTGGGAAATAGGCCGATAACCTATTTTAATAAGAAAGACTGACAAAATATTATTAGAAAATTCAAGAAAAATACATGTAAAGAGTATTATAGGATGCAGTTTAAAAAACAAGTGGGATAAGCTAAAGAAGGATTGAAAAATCTAGAAGGAATTGAGGCGAGGATCAAAGGGCTTGGGGTAGGATTCGGTAAAGCGAACGATTAATATTTCCAAGTGGTGAGCAGAGAGACTGACAATGAGCATTTTTGAAATGTCCCCTATTTCTGTCAATTTTTAATTTGTTTTTAAATTTATACATGTTATATCAATTTCAGGTGATGTCTGCTACAAAAAATCATAAATACAGAAATATAGTGAAATCGATCTTGAGTTGAAAGAGAAGTTGAATCGTATAATTGAAGGTGTCATCGCAATGGGCAACAATGTATGTATCCCCGGTGAGATAGGGTTTAGTGGCATTTCTGAAAATTTGGGAGCTAACAAAACAGGTGATTCCATTTAAGGCCCCAGCCCGGACCTCCATGAAGTTGAGTCCATAAGTCAATCAAAGTGTTCCCGGATTGATAAAAGAATAAAAGCATGAGCTATTTTTCTTAAAAGTCAGATCTCACAGTTGGTGGCTTCATGTACCAATGACCGCGGCATATCATAAGCAATTTTTGTTCAGCAAATTATGCAAATACTGGATGCAACTCCAGAAATTTCCGAGGATATGTCGCTGTATTTATTCTCTATAAAGTTGTTTAACAATTTAACACGAAGAGTTTTTCATAACGATACCTGCTGACTTTACCTATGTTGTTTTCATGGGAACAGTGACATTTGAGAGACATTTTCTTAATTAGATTCTTGTGAGACATTCTACCTATGTTGTTTTCATGGGAACAGTGACATTTGAAAGACATTTTCTTAATTAGATTCTTGTGAGACATTCCTATTTGTTTATGATTTTTCATGATGTTTTGGAAACTTAAACTGCTTTGGACATGCCACTTTACTTGAGAGATTTTCAATCTTCGTTATGTTTTCTATTTGCTTTTGTAATGTTATTTACTTATATTGATTTTGTTCGTAACCTTATATGATTGTAACTAATTCATTGATGCATATGTATTAGTCACTTTGATACTAAAATACATGGATACAACTAAAGAAAGGTGCGGAAGGAGAATTTCAGTTGTATGTTTGATGTACCAATAGTATAACTCGTGCATAGAATGCTCTTTTTGTATGACATTCTCATATGTTGGCGACCAATGGGTTTGGGAGTTGCTACCGGGCTGCCCAACGAGATTTAGCAATATATTTTGCATGATACAAGCAGTATTCACCGAATTGTTGGAGCAACTACACAGAAATCATGAATTTCATGGCTCATCCAGAATGACTTCGCGAGAGATATTAGCAATAACCCTCTACATATTATCATAGAATGAATCAATGTGATGAGCTATAAAGCGATTTCAACACTACTTCGAAATTATTTGCAAATACTTCTCAATAGGGTTAAATGCACTTGCAACTTTTCTTCACAAGCCATAAAATCAACATATTCTATATTCGAATGGACCCTCATAGAAATTTCACATGATGCACGACATGTCATACTTTAAGGTAGTTTCTCCTTTTTATTACATTCAATTTTCATATAAATATCGTAATTACGTAACCATTCACTATATTTCTAGAATTGTATTGGAACAATCGATGGAACACACGTTGATGCACGTGTTCCAAATAATGAGAACATTGCATTCATCGACCAAAGTGAGTCCTCGATGCAGAATGTCAGAGCGGTATGCAACTTTAACATGTGTTTCACTTTTGTCATGATAGGTTGGGAGAACATTGCACATGACAGTTGAATTTTTAAATTTGTAACACGAAATAACATATACAACTTCCCACATCCACCCACAAGTTCGCTTGAGACTGAGCTACTCTCATAATTCTTTTTTCCTTCAACACTAATTATTCAATTCACATCAGGTAAATACTATTTGATCAATGTTAGATATTTATTACAACGATGACATCTCAAACTATGTCATAATACGAGATACCACATACCTGATTTTTAGCGAGTTAGCAATGTCACATAGGGCAGGAAAGAAATTTTCAACAAAAGACATTCATCCTTACGTGGTGTTATTGAGAGGATTTTTGGATTTAAAAAAAAAAATGGGTTATATTTCGTGATATGTTCTCTTACCCGTTTCTTAAATAGGTGCAGATTGTGATTGTCACGATACTCTCCATAATTATATTCGGCGGCATCCTTTCCGCAACGACATTGACTTTCGTAGGGCGAACGAAAATCATAAACATGTCTCTGTCGGGCATATAAGTATCGTCTAGAACAGTCTTTGTCACAAACTGAAAATAAAGTTCCTAAGACCTGTATTGAAGACGGGAAATGTGCAAATGAGATGGCAGAGTTGAGGGAATGAATTATAGATACGATAATTACAGGGTGATTTAATTTTTTATCATATAGTAATTGTAATGATTTTTGAAAAGTTTCACTGCTTATTATATCTTTATTTTATACAATTTATGTTTATTTTCATTCCTTGTATATTTGATATTGATTGTTTTGATTTTTTATGATGTTTATAAGGATTTTTTTCTTTCGTATTTCTTTTGTTTTTCTTTTGGTGGGTTTTGGAGGTCTATGACCTTATGAGTTCTTTTGGATGACCTATTTGTCACTACTGGTTGGTGTCACATATGAAATTCTAATGAAAGCGATAAGTTTCTTTCTTTCTTCTATGTTACGGTTTTTGAGGTTCTTCTAGATATCTTTTTTTGGTGATATGCATGTGTGATACACGAACTTAGTATCACGTGGGTTAAAGACAATCAAGAATCTTTTTTATAAGGTTTTTTATCTTCTTGTAATGACAGATTCGTTGGTTTATATAGCGAGTTCTCTGAGACCTCACAGCTGCATCAAACTATAATTAATTATTTTCGTTATTACTTTTTACATGTGCTATGTCTGATGGATGCTTTGAAAACATTCAGAAAAAATGAGCGCAAGAATTTCTAGTACCTCCCAAGGATTGCACTGCTGCTGTGGACTTCAAAATTCCCTGCTAACTTCACGTCAGTCACACAGCAATAGAAGACAGTTTTAAAGATGCCCGCGGAGAATCACTAAAAACTGTGACTATTTTCGATGGGCAGATAGTTTGGAAAATTCTATCGCCGAGAATGATCGAGCATGGAGGATATCCCTAGATGACGGTTTAGCACTTGACATACGTCGTCTACATTTTAAAAATATGATTATCATATTATTAATCGTTATTTTAATAGTCTTTTGCTAAATTTTAGCAATCATGCTACTCACTGTTAAGTGTGGTGTTTTTTTTTTTTTTGTAATATTCTGCACTAAATTTTTGCTTTTAAAGTATAAATTGTATTAATATGAACAGTTTTGTTGCAAACAACAATACTATACATGGGCAGAATATCATTTGTCTCCAAACAGTTGTGGCGCAGCTGTTTTCAAATTGCAAAAAACAAACAGACACCTTATCTGCAACAGTTTATTATTAAGAAAGTTGTTACACAACAACTTATTATTAAGCTGCAGCTACCCCAAACAGACCCTTATTGCCCCAATCTCTTCCGTATGCTTGATGTTGCAACCCTCTCTATTTCTTTGCTTAGCTTCACACCATGCCAGTTTTGCATCCCTCATGCAGAGAAGAGATCACAACATGGAGGGGTCATCTGCTACATAAATGTAGGAATAGAAGTTTGGTTTAATGCTTATGAGGGTAGTTAGAATCAAGTCTTCAGATTGATATAATCCATCATACCTAGTTTACTGGATAATGAATGCACCAAAAAGTAACCGACGTAAGTTTTCTTATAAAAGCATAGAAGTTTAAATGAAGGCTTTATTTGGTCGCATTGCGGCGTGTAATTTAGAAAAAAAAAAAAAAGAAGTAACCATTATCCTACTTAAATGGACTAACAGCTGTGCAATGTCTAGCCATGACTGTGATAGAGATGTGAGGGCAATATGGCACTTTCTACACGCATTGTAGAAATAAATATTACGCATGCCAGTTTTTAGAAAAACAGTGTCAGAAAAGTATTAGAAAACAATTCCCAGATTTTTTGCAGTGAAAAAAAAGGGCATACTTTTAAATAGATGTCAATTGCACGATAAAGCCCATCAGTTGTTGTGCGAGCATATCCAGGTATGGTGTCCGCAATAGCAATAAATTTGGCAAGCTTGAGGTTTGAATCTGGAGCAATCTCAGCAAGATAACTGTCCACCAATCTTGCAACTTTAACCATCGCTGTTTGAGAGGGAGAGTTGCGGCAATCAGAACCATAACCTGACCCCTCATCATCACTATCTTCCTGTTGTGAGAAAATCACAAGAATCCTATGGATAGTGCCAACATCAAATAATGTGTCTCCCACATTTTGACAAGAAGGTATCAATAGATCATCAAGGGATGCCAACTCCAGCTGGTATCCAATTCTCCTCTCAAGATTTAGCCTACAAGACATCATGCAGTCTAGCATCATTGCTGACTTTAAGAGTCCGAAAAGAAAGCTAATGGAAACAGCATGTTTTTCAAGAGGCAAAAGGGTAGCAATACTTTCGACCACAATCCTTATCTGACTGGTAAGAGAACTACTAACTAACTCAAGTCTTGGATGAAAGTTTATGCTCCATATATTTGGTAACTTTCTGAAAGTCTTCTCTGCGAAACGGACGAGTGATGAACCGATACTCTCTGGGCGGACTCCTCGACATTTCATAGCTTCTATGACCCTCTGGAACAAATCAACACGAAGAACAGAGAGATCCTCAATCCACCAGTCTCCATTGCTCTTTGCATGCTTGTTCATGTGTAGCCTACCAGAACTACTGTATTCTAAGCGCGAAAAACTTGAGGCTATCTGCTCTGCACATGCCTTCGAGGCAATTGCATCAACACACCTGCTAACTATCTTCAGTTCATCAGCAAGAGGAAGTAAGTTCTCGCAATGCTGCAAAACTTCAACACACATTTCAAGGTTTTTGCAAATAACACCATCAAGATAAGACTCTGAGCGTAAAGCCAAATTTTCAGGAGCATATTGATCATTCATCTCAAGGTACTCAGACGCACACAATAGTTGAGCAATATTTCCAGGTGTGATCTCAAAATGCACATCATAGCAAAACTTAGCAACAAGTTCAAATGTATCAAAACCACCTGGCAAATTAAGCAAATCTATTCTCAAGATATCAGCATCCCTGTGCTCTGCAATCAACTTTCGAATCCGACCACTTCTAGAAATAAGTGGAAACTGCATGATACCAAGTATGAAGGTGTTAGCACTCCAGAAACACTTTTTTTTACTTCACATGGTTGCCATCTTTTAACAATAACTCACGCAATGAATAAGATCCACATTTAATCCAAATAATGAGGACAAATGATCCAAAAATTATCCTTACTGTCAACTGTGCCCTTCGATCAAACTCTAATAGATTTATTTTGCCACTAGGATAAATTTTTATATTCACAATCATTTTTTAATACATTTTTATAATTATAATTGGCAATTAGCACATAATCAAGTTTTATTATTACAGTTAATAAATAAACATTAAGAAAAAAGAAATCATACCACATGGTGACTGTAAAAAATCTAGTAGCTAATGTAGCAATGAATCTATGTATGTACAGAAGAGAAAACTATGTACAGCTTTTTTTCCGTATTAAAAACAATGTACATGTATAGATGCACAACATCTTAAAATTGGCATACACAATGCATCACAATTTTGAATATAATATGCTTCACTGTGAGATGAATCTTATCTATATAGTTTACCAAATAGTCAGACCGCAAAATTTTCATGGTAATAAAAAGTTGAATTTCACATTCAATTTCACAAAAAAAAAAAAAAATGTCAGCAATGCATGTTTCAGCTTTATTATTATTTAACGTTGAAATCATAGCAGAACGCCCTTTTTCTTTCCCAATCCCACCACCCTACCTCCATTCCCTGGCACTCAACAGCACCCACCTCACCTCCAAAACAAGCTGCCCTGCATGCCTTTCTACATCAAGTATAACATGTAAACTACCACTTCCCAATATTTTTATAAAACCTCTTCAGCCTTGATGCATGAATAGTGATTGAGACCATTAGTCCCAATCTCATAAAACAGCTGCCATAGTTATAGGACCCGAAATCAGGCTAGATAGCTAGATAGTCATAAGCCTGTGCTTGTCTGACCGACCGGAACACATGGTAACAATTTCACATATTGCTTTCCTTGATATATACATTTGTTTATGGTCTAATAATTATTTTCATTTTAGAATGCCCTATAGTCGAAATGGCAATTATTGAACAGCCCAAGCTATTGTTAATAAGCTCCTTAGAGTTCAACCTTTGTTTTAAAACACAAAAAAAGAAATACGTAATGGGCCAAAATAAATGATGAGAATATAAGATCTTCCACTATAAGGTTCTAAACATACAATCTCATATGCCAAGTCATTTTGTAGTATTACATGTTAAGTGATATGAAATTGTGAATGATAAAACCTACATAGACTGTTTGTATGTGTATGATTGACTATGATGGAGTCACGCATTGATGATACTAATGGGGGAATACCAAAGTAGCCGTAAACGTACATGGAAAAGGATATTGATATTGATGACTGACACATTTTTTAGTTTAGACGGTGCTCCTGTGTGTATAGATATGAAATGATATTGATATGCTAATGATATAGTAAGACTCTTTGAATGACATCAAATATTTATATTGATTTATTACACGGTTTAACTAGAATACATAATGTTTCCTTTTTTCTTATATTGTGGTTTATGAGTATAAATATTTACTGGCTCATTTAACTAACTGTTATTTTAAACTAATTTTTCAGGTTAATTAAGCGATTAAAAATGAGTTATAGAGGAGAAAACATTTATAGAATACGTCGACAACCAGTAAAAAGGTAATTTTAATTGTATCGCTTTAATTTAATTTGATTAGTGGTTTTTTTACCTGTTAAATTGTATATTACTATAAATAATTTAATTAATATCGTCCAACTGTCTGTACCCATCTTGGTTAATTACAAGCCCCGAGACAGATCGTGACATTAACCCTAGCTCATTCGATGGTTGAAAGTATAGACATTAACTCGAATGGTGTGAGAGAGTCTCATTCGTGTTCAATCTCAAAGGGGTTATGGCCATGCGGACAGACTAGTGGACTTACTATAAATAAATTCAGCCTAAGAAAGAATCAAGTCCTTTTGCTTGATAATCATACCCACAAAGCATCTAAATAGGCTTCCCAAACTATAATTTACCTTCTTCGTCTGTCCATTTATCTGAGAGTGCTCTGTCAAACTCAACTAGAGCTTTGTAACCAACTTCCTCATTTAAGTCCTCTAAAAATAACTCATAAAATGTGCATCTATATCAAAAGTGATAGCCCTAGAGACACCATAAGGATGGGTCATCTCTCTAAAAAGAAAGTATGTAGTGTATGAGGCATCCGTCTTCATATGGTAGGATACAAATGAGCCATCTTGAAGAAACGATCTACCAACATTAGCAAAGTCCTCACTTTTTGGGGGTTTGTGGAAAACCCATAATGAAGTCAATGCTCATATACACCTAAGATGACACTGCGATAGAATGTGGAGCTAAGTAAAACACCTTAAACTACCTAATGTGTTTCTCCACACCCCATGTCAACCAAGGACAAAAGAAATTCTCTTTCACTAAGGATAGAATCTAATCCCTACTAAAATGTCCAAATAATTTTACCATTGTGATATTTCTACAAGTTTGTTTTCATAAGTGAGTTCCTAGGAATACACAATCTACAAAGCTACTCATATTGTCTATCCTTGGAACAAACTCAAATCTCCAAAAAATTCTCATTAGTGGCATATGCATTTCTCAACATTTTAAAACCAACTACCTTTAACTAAATAGTAGTGATCAACAGATGACAGCAACTCAAAGCATCAGCCACCTTAACTTGACTCTCACTTTGTGCTTGAGCACAAAATGAAATGAAAAAATAAATTTCATCTAGCTTGCATGTATACCATTCAACCTTAACGTCGAAAGTGATTTTAAAACTTTCATATGAGTTTTAGCACGAAATCAACAAGGAGAAAGTGAAGATTAGGTGTTAGGAAGAGTTGGGGGAGAAAAATAACGATTTCAGAAAAGACAAATTTATGTTGAAAATCCCTTTTAAGGTATGTTTTGTCATTTAATGTTTGTTATTGGGTTAATGCATATTATGAACCAAATTTGATGATACTCTATGTTGTCTATAAGCCTCATGCTGCCAATATAAGGCAACGAGCTCGAGACGAGCGTGTGAGAACTCGTCGTAGAGCTACTCCATCAAGCCAAGTGAAATAATCTTATGCTAATTTTAGAAAAATAATATTGTACAAGTTTTCATATGATTTCTATTTTGACACGAATGCATTTAAATTTTTTACATATTGTAAATACATTCAATTGAATGTATAAAAGCACGTTTACTTTTCTTACGATACATGTAATATTATGATCAGGCTATGCTATATGACTATGCTTACGATATGACTTCTTTGTAGGTATTTATTTATTAAGCTTCATGTCTCATGTCTATGATGCATGTAATGTCGTAAAAATACTTGATGGAGAAAAAATGATTTAAATGTCACAATGAACATTATGGGTAGACTATTACATGAGCGTTTGTAAGTACACTATGCAAGGATGTTGTATTTCGACTCCTGATGTTTATATGGGGATGAAACTCTGGGAACCGTTGGGATTAGGAGGTGGCAGAATGTAAGGATATCGTGGTTATCAATGGGCTATCGATAACTACTATGTTGGGGGGAAGCCCAACCTTTATCAATAATTTATATGTCATTTGAGGCAGGGTGACGACTCATGATGAAAGAAAATGGAAATAGTTGAACAATATACGTTAAACAAGTGATATTACTATAAAGTGACATTACTATAATTACATACGATAAGCATGTTATTACTTGTGTGTAGACAGGTATAGTTTCCTACGAGCATGCACGTTATTTCTTTTCCATGTATAAAATCTTATGTTAGCCCGGATTATTTCTTTGAGCTCATTCTTGCTCGTTTTTCATTGGGCATGAAGCATTAGGGCGAGTAGTCAGGTGTCTTTATACAACTTTGGACGATTGTTTTGGGAGCATGTACATATATTTTGGGTAAGTACTTTTATTATATTGTATTTAGCAACTTTGTGTAGCATACATGTTTTGGATGATATGATTTTCATGCTTCCGACTATGTATATGAATAAATTATAAAATGCAATGTATTTCATATGTTGCGACGATCCAGTTAGACTAATTCATCACTATCAAGGAGCAAGAAAATCAAGGAACTAGTATGTATATGGTAAAAATGTCAACATGAATCTTCAAGAGATCTAGGATGAGGCCTCAAATGATCAAAGTTTTGAGCCAAAAGACGTGATCCAGATTGGCCAAGCAGTCAAGCAATTGCACAACAAGATCGACAGACTCATTATCAATCGACGGACCTAGTCAGCCGACCCTGTCAACCAACTGACCTCTCACAAAAAATCGAACAAAGTATATGATCGATCGACAGATTCCCTCGACAAGAATGATCTTCATTGCGATCGACTGACATAATCGATCGACTACAAAGCGTCCGATGATCAACGAAGCATTTTGTTTTAGTTTTATTGTGTGTGTGTGTGTGCGCGCGCGCGCGCGCGCTCAACACACGCATCAATTCAGTTATTTGGGCAGTTTTTGTACATGTTCTCTCTCTTTTGTAACTATAATTTTTAGACCCCTATAAATAGGAGGTCAAAACATGAATAAAGAAACTTTCAACTTTCTCTCTCTCTCTCTCTGCGCGCGCGCGCGCTCAACACACGCATCAATTCAGTTATTTGGGCAGTTTCTGTACATGTTCTCTCTCTTTTGTAACTATAATTTTTAGACCCCTATAAATAGGAGGTCAAAGCATGAATAAAGAAACTTTCGACTTTCTCTCTCTCTATTCTGTCTCTCTTTTCTCCTGTCACCTCTAACTCTCGAGGTGTGTATTTCAAAAGAAAATTTAGGATTCAACAATTATGATTTTGAAAAATGATTTCAATGAAGAATTGGATCATATTTTGTACAAAAATAATTTCTTGTATTTATAGTATGCTTATGAAATTAATAGCACTCGGCAAACATGGGTGCAAAGTTGAAGATAAAAGGAAATCTAAGAAACTGAGTATCAAAAGCTGCTAAAAAATATTATTTTAACCTTTTCAATCTGTTCTGGGTGTTTTTGCAACATCAAACATAGATTTGTATTATTTTTTATGCTTCTTTTCCTGAACATCTTTTATATGTTTACCATCTAAATAACACAGAGTGAGTTGGTATTTAAGAAGATGCAGAGCAGCGAACAAATTGAGCTTCAATTGTTTTGCCGAAGCTATTTGAAGGCATGTCTTCTTGTTCAGCATAACGCTAATGATAATATTATGAGCAAGCGATCAAATGAAACATAAAAAGAAATATTTACATACACATCACTCAATTCCTGCGTATTTACATATTTAAAACCTAAATTTCAATTTCTACATGCATGCCACCTTATCGATGTATGAAAAGAGTACTTGACCTTGTAAAAGTTAAAATGATGTTTTCATGTAGTATGAAAGATTCAGCTGGTCCCAACGTAAAAAATAAAAATATGGTATTAGATAAGTAAATATATTAGAATTGTGTGGTATGTCTGTAAAACCTCAAAAAAAAATCTCTTTCCTTTCCTTTTAAAAGAGAATTTAATCATAACCAAAAAAAGTAGACATTAATAAGCATTTCTAGCATAATTATCCTGTTCAATAAACAGCACTTGGGTACGTATAACATGAATCTGGCATGGGTTCGGGGCATATTCTTAACACTGAGAGTCAACTGGAAAGGGGAAAAAAAATTACCTTGTGTAATGAGAAGCAAGCACCATTCACATCAACTATGATGTCACTGGGAACGTCCAAAAATATCCTGTGCGTTGAATGTCAACAGTGTAAACAATCATTTAAATAAATGAAAACCACATATTATTAAGCATTTAATTGAACATAAGGCAAAAGCACAACATTAAAGTACCATAAACTCTATTCAAAGCTATCATGACACAAGAAATGCAGCATATAAGCAATAAACAAGCCATAAATCATTTTTTTCTTGTCCTTTAAAATGACTAACTTGAGTACTAATTAATGAAATACAATTCACTTGGTCCACCCAGCCGAGAACAAAGAATTGGTCAATGTAGTGATCCACTTCAGCTTCTCAATCAACGTTCAAGGCTTGGTCCACAAATCAAAACGTTCACCCCAAACCACCTGAAGGAAAGGAGATTGAGGACCTGGGGTCAACAGGTCACTGAACGTGGTGACAAAAATGGTGACCACCATCGGCAACATTATTAATTTTATGATACTGGAGGCCGTGGTTATTATTTTGACCACCAACATCTTCATTATTATTATTAATATACTGATTGTTGTTGTTCTTGTTATTGTTGTGTTTGTGGTTAAAATTTCTATATAATCAAACATTATTTTTGCACGAAGTGTGAACCTTGAAGAACCCTAAAAGGCTAATATAAAAGTTCAATATGACTTGGTTTGAATGATCATGGTTCAAAAGCCTATAATGTCATAATAAACTTTGAAGCAAGCTCTAAAAACATCAAACAATACCCATAAATGCTTATATTAGTTAAAGTGGAACCTTAATGAGAAAAATCGGTCTTGGTTGTTTTAATATGATACTTTCATATCAACACTCTTGGAAACGGTATTGATCAGCACTTTCACACATGAAGCCAACATTTGTGACCACATCGTGGCTCTTAAGACATCGCCACCATCACATACAAGGATTAGGATAGTTCTAATACCAAATGATATCGGAGTTAACTCATACAATGACAGACAAAAAAATAATAAATAGAGAAAATTCAATAAGCGATTACAACAGACACACAGAAAGAGAAAAAGCAACAATAGACACAGATAAACACAACTAAAGTTGTATCCCAAGAGAAATAGCAACAATAGACACAAACAAACAAAACTAAGGTTATATCACAAAAGGTGGCGGTTGGTTGTAGGAAGGGCGATGGAAGATGGTGGTGAAACAACAGGTTGGCAGGTTTATGATGGTAGGAGGGCATATGGAGAGTAAGTGAAGGGGCAGGGATGTTGGGAGGCAACTGGAGGAAGGATAGTCGTGAGATGGACGTAGGCAGTAAGTGGTGCAATCGGGAGACAAAATTAGAGGTGGAGGAAGGTTGGCATGTTGTGAGGTGGACGGTTGAGGGATTGTTGGGGGCATGTAGGGGGGTCGACAGAAGTTGGAGGGCAAGGTGGAGGGTTTCCTGCTGCTGGAAACAGTAAGGAAAGAGAGGAGGTGCAGGAGACAGCAAAGGGGTTGTCCTAAGGGTGGTTGCAGTAGTTATGGTGACGACAGCAGCGAAAGGAAAGTTGTGGAAGGTGGGAAAGCCGAGGATAAATACCCATTTGGGAGCAAGCTATAGTCGGAGCATCACTCGACCCTTGGAGGGTAGTCATCGCATTGAAATGAGATGTAGTCGGAGCACCACTTGCCCTTGGATGCAAGCCTAGAGGGGAAAACAAATAACATCGACGGTTGTCCTGATAGACATCGACGGTTGTCGTGATAGAACAAAGATCCTATCATTGTAATCACTGCAAACCGATTGAGCACACACCTGCCAAATGTTTCAGGCTTTGTCCACAATTGAGATTCAACATTCCCATGCATTTGGATTCTACAGTTATTAACAGCATCACCTAAGTGGAGGAAAATATAGCAGAAACTTAAAATCTTCCAGAAATGTTGAATGAAAATTTGTCTCATCAGGCTATTCCTCACCAACCAGTTCCGCAGCTAGTTCCCACTACTGTTGAGACGGTTCTTCCTCAGATCATAAATCTACGAATTTGGTTGTAGCTGATGTTGGGTAATCAAGCCCTGAAGGAGCGCCATGATCAAGGTGTATTGCAGGCTGCGACTACCCAACAATTTACGGATCAACATACCTCCCAGGGTGAGCTCTCCATTGGAGATCCAAAAACAGATTTCTTCCTCAGATCATAAATCTACGAATTTGGTTGTAACTGATGTTGGGTAATCAAGCCCTGAAGGAGCGTCATGATCAAGGTGTATTGCAGGCTGAGACTACCCAACAATCTACGGATCAACATACCTCCCAGGGTGAACTCTCCATTGGAGATCCAAAAACAGATGACATTAGACAAACACTAGCAGATGAATGACAAGTTTACAAATCTATGAAGATCTTCTGTTAGTGTCTGCGCCAGTGCTTCTCTGGCCCGATCTTCTGCTTTGTTTTTGCGCCTTTCTCTCTAGCCCGACGCGAGTTTCTCGCTGCAGGTGACAGTTGGTTGTTCTGATGTCACTTCCTTCTTCTTTTGTTGAACCGACAAAGGCTTCCTTTGCCCACGTGGTGGGAAATCCTCAGGTGGAGTCCGCGGTGGTATTCCACTAAAGCTATAAGGAATGTCGCGATGACACGGATGATTGTTCTTTTGTTAAGAAGGGAAGTAGGAAAATTGGCAAAGCAACAATTTTTTTCTCTGACTCAGAAATTTTTACCCTGATAGAAAAATTCAAGTTTGCTTTTATTGGAAAATTTTAGTAGGGACACCTACCTATGGAGGTTATCAGAAAGAGAGTAGATGATCTTAAGCCAGTCGGCAAGTGGAAAGTGAAACTTATGAATGGGAGACATGTGTTGATCCAACTAATAATGGCTGAAGACTACACCAGAATTTTCTCTAAGAAATATCTTGATATCGCAGGAAAAGCTATGAAGTTACTCAAGTGGTCTTCTGATTTCGACTCAAATCATGAAACTCCCACTATATCGGTATGGTTTGGTTTACTTGGTCTCAAGCTGCATTTTTTTTACCATCAGGTTCTCTACTTTATTAGGGTCATCCTAGGGGATCCTTTGAAGCTAGATCTGCCTACTTTCAACCTAACCAGACCCTCGGTGGCCAGAATACTTGTGGAAAGGGATATTACTTTACCGGATGTTACTGAAGTCTGGCTGGGCGTAACCCACAATGGATATTGGCAACAAATTGTCTTGGAACACAGACCCCCATATTGTACCCACTGTAAGATGTTTAGTCATATCCTTGATAAATGTTACAAGCTCCATCTGTTACAAGCTCCATCTGAATTTGAAAACTAAGGTTCAAGTGAATAAGGATGGGTCTAACTCCATTGCTATGGACATTTTAGTTCCACCTGGGGAGGATATTACCAGACAGGCGGTGTCTGTTGCCCTTGAGGACCGCCCTCATGACACAGTTGTTATTGTTACTGCGAGTGATGTGATGTTAGCACCTTCAAACCCCATAGAAAACAATACTGATGAACTATTACCTACAAATGATAGTGTTCAGATTGAAAATCAAGAGAGCCTCACAGCTCCACTTCTTCAGGAAGTATCAGGTGTAAAGGCAACTCGTAGTTCACATATAATATAACCTATTGTGGTACTATGGTTGGAATTCCTTCTGCTTCAGCTCTACCACCCCATCAGACTAATTCTTCGAAAGAGGAATAATAAATTCCTTCTGCTTCAGCTCTACCACCTCATCAGACTAATTCTTCGAAAGAGGAATGGTAAGTCTATTCTAGGAGGAAGAAGAAGAATGGAGGCAGATTCCAGCTCGGGAACATATTGGATGATACATTGGTTACTTCTAGCAATAGCAATCATCTTACCAGCTTATTAGCTTGCTCCTTTCCTAGAACTAGAGGCAAAGGCAAGACCAAATTGAGTCGCTCTCTAGCCACCTGATACTATGTATTTCGACACTGTTAGGTTTTTTATTTAAGTATCTAATGTATTTTTCTATTTTTTCTAGTTTTTGAACCTTTTGTGGGTTTTTAGTGGGCAGGGTGTCATGTTTGAGTCCTCCCACACTTTGTATCTGTATCTTTCTTTCTACTTAATATATTAGCTTTTTTGGGCTTTCAATATATAATATATTAGCTTTTTTGTGGCAACCCTAGACCCTTATGAGTGTCGGTCGAACCCCCTCTTTGTTTTCTCTTACTGAACTGGTCCGAGGGATTAGGAGAAGGAAGTCGAGTTCAGTGGCATGGATGTCCTCATCGCTCTTAGTTTCACTAGGCCAAATTGTTATCCAACCTTGACTCATATCCCATCTTTCATAGGGCTTAAAAAAACAGCAAAATGCATTAGAGTGAGATGGGAGTTAAAAAAAGGACAAGATATGCAGACATTAGTTGAGGATATCTTAGGGCATAGGTGCTCTCGTTCAGAATTTGAATCTATGTTGTTGTCGCTATCCACTTAATTCCAAAAGAATGGCAGGGCATTGCCTTCTCACAATCCTACAAAGGTTTTCTTGATTGGAGTTTGAGGAGATAGGCAACTCATCATTTGATTTTGAAATGAAACTTATCATGGAGATATTTGGTGCTTGGAATATTAAGGGCCTTCATTATTTCATCATCATCAATATTGATTTCAGTATTCTTCCTCGCTTCTTAAGAAGAACTCGACAAAGAAAACGTTATAAGACCACATCTTCGAGGGAAATCTGGAGGATTAATCCAACCACTTCATATTGCTTCAACAAAAGTTCCACCCCCCTTCATAATAACAAGCAAATTTGCATGGTAGAGACAAGTACACCTAATTCAGCCTTGTTCTATAATCCCTAAAAAGGATAGTCATACTAATGAAAATCACCATTGCACTACACAAAAACCAAGACAAAGCAACCCTAAATGCTATAAATATCATATCAACTCATGAGCTAAAGAAAATGTTAAGCCAATATGAATGCTCATCTCACACACAACCAAATTTGCATGGTAGAGACAAGTACCCCTAATTCAACTTTGTTCTATAATCCCTACAGCGGATAGTCATACTAATGAAAATCACCATTGCACTACACAAAAACCAAGGCAAAGCAACCCTATATGCTATAAAAATCATATCAACTCATGAGCTAAGGAAAATGTTAAGCCAATATGAAAACCCATCTCACACACAATGACATAGCCCAAATGGGGGAAGATATGCCTAGTCAGATCTCTCAAGGACCACCGCCAAATTATTATGGAAGCAAAACTTCCTATAGTACACAGTTTAGCAATCACCAATAACAATAAGTGGAATGTCATTGATCATTGTACACCATCAGCCTTACACTTCTAGAAAACATCAAACATAATATGACAAAATTTAAGTTAATAGACATGTTTAATGGAGATAGTCACAAAGAATTAAAATCAAATCTCAAGAAGGGAATGTTGCTCTTTCTTCTCTAGCATGTTTGAGGGAGATTGAGAATATTTTGTATTATTTTTTCCCTAAATCTGAAATATTAGAGAAAGGCCATACAACAATAGCCTTAAAAAAACTACATAATAAAAAATTTTGATAAGTCTTCTATTTTACAATACCATAAACACCAAAAAAGCTCATTTATATGGCAATTTTGTAGTACAAGTATTCCATACATACGGCAACAATAAGATTTTTATTAATAAACAACAGCAATAACAATAAGAAGCATTTATCCCACTAAATGAAGTCAGCTACATAAATCTTTTTCTCCATTGTATCCTATTAAGTGTCATATTTTCATTTAATTCTAATAGATTAAGATCATTTTTAATATAACATACCCAAGTCTTCTCAGGTCTACCTATATCTTTCTTAGCATAAGTCAAATCTAAAACATCTACTCCCCTAATTGAAACATCAGTAAGTCAAATCTAAAACATCTACTCCCCTAATCGAAACATCAGACGGTCGACGTTTAACATGACCAAACTATCTAATATATTATTAAGAAAGTTGAAAAAAAAAATCAATTTTCGTTGAGATTTACATAAGGAGGAATACAAACAAAGAATTACAAAATAGAAGGGTTTTAGTTTGAAAAATTAAGAAATCTATAGCGATTTTTCAAAATTTAAAAGCAGCAAAAGATGATTCTTTAAAGTATTAATTTCTAAAAATATTTTTCTCAACCAAATAATAGAATTTATATATAATAAAATTCAGAGATGAAAGTTGAGTTGTATCCATTCGCCAAAAATTTCAAACTTTTTTAAATCTAATTTGATAAAAAAAAAGAAAATTATAATTTCATCCGCATAAATCAAAAAGAAAAAAAATTCTCAAACTATAAGTAAAAAAAAAATAAGGGAAGCAACCACTTTAAGAAAATTGCAAGGACACTATTATATTGAAAAAAATAAAAAAGCCCAAAATGTCAACAAAATAGAGGAAAATGTCCAAATCTGAAATTTGGTTATCGTTCAATTGTTAGTCTTGAGCATATTGTATAAAAAATGATCTAAATTTATTATACTTAAATGAAAAAATGACACTAAATAGGACGCAATGGAAAAAAGGGATTCATGTAGCTGACCCCACTTAGTGGGAGAAATGTTTTGTTGTTGTTGTTGAATTGTTAGTCTTTTTAAATACTCCATATTTTGTTATTTTTGCATCACCTCTTTGTTGATACATCTCAATACTTTGTCTGTCTCTCTTGATAGCAAATTTGCTTGTGACAACGAACTTCATTCTAAAAAAAATCAGGACCTCAAAACTAGGCCACAACCTCTCCAACTCAATTCAAACATATGCTAGCTAAGATAAATCACCACTTTCTTAGAGGATGATCGAAACCTTAAAGTAGGAATGACAAATCTCAATGTCTATTTACAAAATTACACTTTTGAAGGAAACCTAGTTGCTTTTTATGAAAAATCAGAGTTTATAAAGTAAAATTTTGATCTTCCCTAAAACCCTACAGAAATTTTATAAAACATAGGGGATACATATATAAAAATTTTGAGGTATTTTTTAGAATTTTAGTTGTTATTTATAAATTTTTTTAGAGATTAAAAATATTTCGTTATTTTTTAAGGAATTTTTAAAATAATTAACCTCAGTCTAACATTGACAAGAAACTACCTCTAGCATTAATAGCGAGAGAAGCCAATAGCCCATTGATATCCAATACCAAATTTCCAAAATCCACAATCAACTAACTCCAAACATTTGTGAACTCTAATGCATAGTTCCCAATGCCCATCACTATATGATACCAATTAACTGTTGTCAACAAATTCTTGTCATCAACTATCGACATTACCATACATGACACAATTAGCCACTGCTAAAGTCTTGACATTATAGTTCCACTTTCTCCAATTACAAGAATGGTGAACCATTGTAATTACAGACTTTATTAATAAAATCATTTCAATTAAGCTAAACCACTTATTTTCTACCTTCAAATTTTATAACTTCTAATTTTGATTGAGAATTATAAGATAGTGACATGCCCGTAAAAAGGGAAAATTTGCAAGGATCTAAAATAATGATTGGCAGCTTATTCAAGAAGTATCACACTTTATTCCATCTATACATGAAATTTGTCCTCTAAAAACAGATTGGTGAAGGAACTCCATTTCAGCCATGCTATACCAATACAAGTACAGTCAATTTAATATGTGTGCAAAATATAACACAAAATGTATTTTTTCCCCCCTTATCACTTAGTTCGTATGCCTCATACTGTTTGAGAAAAGCAGCACAGTGTGAATTTTAAGAAAAAATGGAAAAATATGCAAAGATATAATACTATGCAAACAGCAATCACTTCAAAAGACACAGGGAGACTCCAAACAAAAACATGCAGTTCCACCCTTGTTCCTGAATACCTAATGAGTCATGCACAACCCCATGTTTTTTTTCTCATCCCCATCATCACTGTAAAATTTTACATTTGCGGCCATGATAAATGACAATCAGTCATAATTTTTGCAAACCATAGCTGGAAACCTTTTCTTATAACAAACTACCTGGAACAAGCTCAATTCATGGAGCATTTGGTAGAAATCACTCAAATTGCATAAAAACACTCAAAATTCATCTCCCAAATTGCTTCAACCATTAATTTAGAACTAATCCTTCTTTCACCAAAAACGACCAAGTCTTCTAGCTGTTGCTAACATTGGCGTAAACAGAAACGGAAATAGCAGTTACTTCAGTACAGAGTGAATCACCTTAGCTAGAAAAGCAGCAAACCCATTTATAACAGAAGAAAAAGAGACAAGAAAGCGCACCAATGGTCGATCCTCTGCTGAGGCGAGGATACGCACAGCGCAACAGCAGTTTGCTCCATGGTGTCGCCGGAGGCTGCGGCGGTATTGGGTTAGGCGTTCAAGTGATGAAGCAAGAGAGCGACGTTTGTGGAGGTTGGAAACATTGGTCGAAATTTTGGCGTGCATTGGAATGCAGATGGACCGGACAGCGAGAAGGTAGAGGTGGGTCATGATGCCATCCACCACCTCGCGACCACTACTCTTCCCTCTTCCTTTTTGACAGAAGAGTGTATGAGAAATGAAGTGGAATGAGTGCTGAGAGAGAGATGTGAGACAAAGAAGGAGGAGGAAATGGGAGACAGATGGGGAACGGGCCGGGGTCCGCGGCCGCTGTGAAGGAGGATATGGCATGGCGGTGATGATAGCCTATTATTAGGTATTTTCATGGCTATCCTACCCTTTCTGTTATTTTTCTCTGCTTCGCTTTCCTTTGTCTTCGTTGGCGACGACGACAAAAGGTTAGCCAGGCCCACCTGGTTTCGAAAAAAGGTTAGCCAGGCCCGCCTGGTTTTGCTTTGGTTCGCTTGGCAATTACAAAATATAATTCAAATAAATTCGCAGGATATAGTAATAATAATAATTTTTGTATAGTATTTAGTATTAACTTAAGGCAATTACAAAATATAATTCAAATAAATTCGCAGGTTATAATAATAATAATAATTTTTGTATAGTATTTACTTTAGGCATTCAATTATTTATGAATGCACATTAGCTTAACTTACACGATCTTATTTAAAGATTTCTCTCTACTAGCACAACACAATACAGCAATATATTACCAAATAGACCCAAGTATTGGGGAAAAAGTACTATGTACATAAAAAATGTGTCCACGTGATCATGAGGTGATTCAACGAACTAAGAGACATAAAAGTATGATCAAGAATAGCCCACAGAAGGAATATCAAATGTCATGCCACCAAAAGGTCAAAAACTTGATTGATCAAGTACAGATTTTTTTGGTCGAGACCTAAAGCCGACCAGATGCAGGCCTTCCGAGGCAAAGACAAAGAAACATCGAGCCACTAGTCCAACTCTAGCCGTGACATCGCCAGTCACCTCATAAGAACCTCTTAGACTCTTTACCAGGATGTCGAAGGTTTTACCATGACTTACTCCACGAACCACCCAAATGACCTTATGTCAGGGAGGTTGAGCTACCTGTCGGATTACGGTGATTCAACTTCTGCCCGACAATCTAATCTCATCATGGCAATGAGGGCTGTCAAAATGGCTAGTTATTCGTGAACAGTTTGTGTTTGCTTCTTAAGAAACTCATATTTGATTTGTTTCTCAATTAAACAAGTCAAACATGAACACTTTTCTTATGCTATATGTATATATGAGCTGAACACGAACAAAGATTTGTTTGTTGTGTTCGGCTCATTTTGGCTCGAAATAATTATATTCATATATATATATGTTCTTTTTTCCCGGGGGCGGCCCCCCCCCCCCCCCCCCACACACACACAGGTATGTTGTATGAGTGAAAAAAACCTCAGGGCAAATATATTAAATAGAAAAATATACAGATATGTTGTATGAGTGGGCCTAAAAGAAGACGCTCAACCCATATGATACACAACACGCAAAAACCCAAAAAAGTAAAGATACATATAAGATAAAAAAACCAAAAACCACCAACGCGCACAAAAAGCTAGGGACGGCTCAGTTTAGTCCTGTCTCTGCCTCGAGTTATTGGAAGGGAGTCGTCTAACAAATTAGTGACGTGTGTACCATTACCCGAAGTAACCAAAGTATCATCCATCAAATTCCTGAACTCAAGTAGGTCTACATTCTTCTTCTTTATTTTAGATGTATAAACATGTCATTTCTCATCTGAATATTGACTCATCTGATCAGTGGATTTGTTCAAAGGTGGTCGGACAGGCGTAGACTGTTGCACATCATGAACCTCATGTGTCTGAGTAACATCAACATCTTGTTCGAATTGATGAGGCGGAAGAGAGGCAGTAGCAATATTGTCATTCATAACATCAGTGATAGGATATATGACAGGTTAAGTCTAAAATCTCTCCCTCGCCCCCACAAAAGGAGATTCCAAAGATGGGAAAACTACAACATTGTTTGGAGGCTGAAAGGCTGACATATTGCATGTGGGGATATTGACAGCTTCAAGGGTATCATTTTGATGATCAATTATGTTGATAACTTGGAGCATGTCAAGAGGAGAGAGAATCACTGCCTCTGACAGAGCACTTTGTTTCTTCGATTTGAGATGGGGGTGTAGATGATGACATTGAGAACTTGAGTGACCAAACATACAACTGTTCGAACAATATGAAGGGAATATATTCAATCACAAACCTTTTGCTAATATCCATGATGTTGTTTGTCTAACCAAATTTCCTCACAAACGACAGCAGTGATGTCCCTTTCAACGAGTACTTTGGCTTTAGAATGATAAGAAAAAATTAAAACTATGAATGTCCGTTTTGAGCGGCTTACCGTAAACTGAGGCAATAATGTACAAAACTTTTTGGGCAAAATAATGAAATGTCATGCCAGGGAGGTGAATCCAGACCAGAAAGATTGGTGGTTCCGTCTGTGGGTCAAAATTCACCGATTATTTCAAAATCTTCATTGCTCTGTTATCAATCCAGATTACTCTTCTAGCAAATAATCGTGTGTAATCCTCTTCATTATTAAATTGAATAAAACGTGTCTTCCATCTAGAAGTCCAATTTTTCACTCCTCAACAAGATGCATAAGCTCAAATTCCTTACGAATAAGCTCCATTTTTGGATGACCATAAAGAAAATTTTCGATCAAATTCAGACGACCGGATGAAGCAAGTTGATTGCATTTAGTTTTTGTAGAAAAGATGACAAACTTCTCAATCTTTCTACTAGGTTTCTTGATGTCCACCACCACCTAAAATGAAAGAGGGAAAGAACATGATTTAGGAGTCCCCGAGACTTTGACTCCTACAAGAGCAGTAGCATATGATATGTCCAAAGCCATCACCACAAGTGGGAGGCACGGCGAAAGAACAACGAATTTGTAGTTGATGGAAGAGCGAAATCCGGAAAGAGATCAACTGTAACCTTACCAAGTCCAGCAAGGGGCGAAACAGAAACAAGGTGTGCCAAATACGTGGTTATGTTCGAATATGTAGCAGAAGACAGGAATATCGCAGAAGCACAATCAGGTCGAAGCCGCTATGTATATATATGCATATATGTATAGATATGTATATATAAGTATATGTATGTATATATGTATGCATATATACATATATACATATATATATGCATACATATATACAGATATGTTTACATCTGCATATATATGTATCCATATGTACATATATGTATACATCTACATAGATATGTATACATATGTATATATATGTATAGATATGCATATATATGTATATACATGTATTCATGTATATGTATATACATGTATAGATATGTATACATGGATATATCTGTATATATGTATATATTTGTATACAAGTATATACATGTATACAAATATATATATATATATATATATATATATATATAT